GATGCCTGTGTGCCCCTGGATGTGCCACCTCTTTTCATTTCCTCAGCTCTCCTCCAGTTCATCACTGTGCTCATGTCTTCCCTGACTTTCGGCTACAGCAGTCCTCACATGGCCTCTAGTGGAGAGGCCAGGCTTAACTGCCAGATGGTTGGAAGTAGCTGCAAAGCTTGAGCAGGCTCTCCTTAGATGGGGATTGTTGGGTCATCTGGTGTTTTTGGAAGTGTGTGTACTGTTTTCTCACTCTTCAGCCCATGAGAGATCTGGTTCTTCAAAGACAACACACTCAGAGTTGTCTTTTTTGGATTAGGCATTTGGCGTCCTGCTGGGTATAGTGTTTTCCTTTGGTGGGCGGGGGGAGCTTATTTGAGACCCAGCTTCTCTGTGTAGCCTTGGTTGTCCTATACTCACTTTGTAGACCAGGCTGGCTTTGAACTCACTGAGATCTGCCTGCCTCTGCCTCCCAGAGGGCTGGGATTACAGGCGTGCACCATCATGCCCAACTTGTCTGTCTTCAATTTTCTTTTGTACTTCTCTAATTTCTGAAGGTCCTGAGCATCATTTCTGGAGCATGCTGACTGTTTATACTTCATCACTGAAGTGTCTCATTCAGCCTGGCACCTATTTTAAAAAATGTGTTGTTTTGTTGTCAAGTTGGAATGTTCTTTATAACTTCTCCACACAGACCTCAGTGAGTTATATGTTTTATAATGTCTCTTCCTAGTTTTGCATTGTTTTTAATAGAGCTGTCTTTTATTTTGATGAAGCCCAGATAATAGCGTGTTTCAGTGAGTAGATATTCTTACTTTTAATTTTGCTTGCTGTCCATCTTTTCTCTAGTGGCCAGTGTGCCTCTGCTGTTGACGAACTCTGCTAGCCTCAGGTTGTCAGGGTGTTAAATGTGTACCTGGAAGACACTCATGCCCTGGCTCTTTTTATGCTTTTATCTTCAGCCATCATCTGCACTTGGGTTTTAAGACTGTTATGGGTAGGGTGAAAGCTTGTTCTTTCATATAGATACAAAACTGACTCAGCATCTTTGGACAAAGGGGCCTTTGTCCACTCTCATACAGTGGACTTTGTGATGAACATCAAGTGACTGATTGGCAAGGGCCTCTTTCTGGACTCTTGTCCTCCTCAGGACCACTTGCCTATCTGAATCCACAGAAAACTGAGAGCTGGCTTGTAAATCACTGCATTTTGTTTTTCTTTCTCAAGACTGATGGGTATCTGGGGTGTGTACTTTCTCATGCAAGTTCTTGATTTTTAACCCCCCCATAAGTTCTTCACAGTGGTGCATGAGCTTGCTATCCATGGACATGGCCTGTCCTACCATTTATTTACTTCTTTGGGTTTTCTTGTTAGTGTTATTTGTTTAAACCCACACGTGCGCACACAAACACACTTGCACATTTTTACTTAAAATATTATTTGATACTAAACTTCTTAGTGCCTTTAAAAATATTTTCATTATTTTTAATTATGTTTGTGTGTGTGGATATGTGCACTAATAATTCAGGGGCTGTGTAAGCTAAAGGGACAGGTAGTTGTGAGCTGTTTGACATGGGTGCTGGGAACTGAACTCAGGTTCTTTGGAAGAGTGCCCCACTGCTTTTGACTGTGAGCCATCTCTTCGGCCCATAGTGCTGTTCTTTGGCATCATTTTAAATCTTAGCCTTGTTGCTGATGACTAGCAGATGGCCAGCTGAGTTTCATGTCACTGTTGCGCTGCTTTGCTCCTGACAGTGTGATGCAGCTCCATGTGAGTTTTCCAGCTAGCAGTGTGATTTCTTCCTTTCCTGTTCTTCATTCGGATGAAGTAGCTCTCCTTTTAGCTCACTGTTAAGTGGCCTTGGCAGTGTGAAGCTGCCTCTTTCCATTCTGAGAGGCAGCCTCACACTTCATCCACAACACTTACATTTGCTGTAGGACTTTTCTTTTGCTTCCAGCTCTCTGCCCCCACATTTCCATTCCCTTTTCTCCCCCTTCCCCTCTGAGTAAATTTTCCTGTATTTCTAGTCTTCAAAGAGTGTTACAGATGCAACATTGGATTGTATTGGGTGTTTCTGTATTTTTGGTGATCATACTTTTTTTTTTTTTTTAGCTTGTTAATGTTGCTTAATTTGGAATCAACCTCATCTCCTTATTTATTTTTTTAATGATTTCATTCATGCGTGCATTCATTCATTCATTCATTCATGTGTGTTGGTGATACACTTATACTACAGTGTGCATGTGGAAGTCAAATGATAGCTTTGCAGGAACTGATTTTTTTTCTTTCACTCTGTGGGTTCTGAGAATTGAACTTCAGTTGTCAGGCTTGGAGGCAAGTGCCTTTACCCATTACGCCATCTTCTGGCCACCCTCATTTCCTTGTAGTGCTATTTGTCTATACCACTGAGCTTTATTTGTTATCATTTTTACATCTGTACAACTGAGAGGGGGCCACATAATATCTTGTAATTCCTTCTAGATTCTTGCTGTAGAGTAGGTAGGCCTCCTCCTTCCAACCTCCCCGCTCTGTCCTCTTACGTTCCTCATTCCTCCTTTCCTTTCTCCATTTTTCCTTTCCTTCTCTGTCCTTCTCCCTTCTCTCCTTTCTCCCATTTTAAGACAGGATCTCACTATGTAGCACAGCAAACTTTGGACTTTTTGTCTTCCTCCTTCTGCTTTGTAAGTGCTGTGGTTATAGGCAGGAACTGTCATACCTGGTATCTTGCCTTTTGTTTAAATGCTTAGAAATATTTGGGGTACAGTCAGCTGAGCTTAGTGGTTCCTGTGTAAGAATTAATTTTTTTATTCATTCATTTCCTTATTTATTTGCTGTGTGTGTATGCGTAGGTGTGGAGGTAAGAAGACAGCTTGCAGGAGTTGAGTTTCTCCTTCTACCGTTTGGGTCCCAGGGACTAAATTCGGGTCTCAGGCTTAGTGGCCAGTGCCTTTACCCACTGAGGCCTTAAACAGATTCTTGTCTAGTGAGAAAGTTTACTTCTTTTGTCATTTCTGTTACATATTTGTCTCTTTTGTGAATTTACTATTTCATCTGAATCTAGAGCATCTCTATATGATGCTTTACACTGTTTGTTTCTGCTGTGATGCCACCTTTCCCGCAAGATGCCAACAGCCTATGCCATTCTTCATTGCTGCTCTAGGAACAGATAGTTGGCCTTGTTTTTTTCATCTGGGTCTTGTCCATGTCTTCTTGTTTATGCTAAAACGGACCTTTCTATATAGCCCATGGTGTTTCTGCCTCAGCCTCCCTGATGCTGGGACTGGGGGCCTGGGCCACCATGCCTGAAATTTTTTTCCTAACCTATTATCTTGTTTACCCAGCTCCTGTAGGCAGCCGGGTGCAGCTTGAATGATGTGAACAAGCTTGCTCTAAGCTTTCGTACTGCTTCGTGGAGTCAGTTTTCTTGTATGTGAAATAATTTGGCACTGAGCCATCTGCTTTCCATCTTCTATATATCTGTCCATGTGGGTATATGTCTTTAAAACAAAACAGGAGAAAAACACAGGAAAAAAAGAGCAAGAATAAATAAAACAAAAGAAAACAGAAGCGAAAGATCCTTTTTGTTGTATGCAGAGTGATGTAAAATGGTATGACAACTGAAGCAAGTGCAGATTCTGTTGATGGTTTTATCCTGAGTGTTCTTCAGTTGCTGTCTGTTGTGGCAAGGTAGGCTCAGGAGTGGGTTGGCTAATGCAAGGTGATCAGAAAGGGAGGACACCCAATAAGTGGAATGTACCTGCCGGTTGGTGTGGGCCTTGAAGGGAGAGAGCTTATTAGAAAGTGGAATTTCTATGCTGTAAGCCCCTTTCCAATACTTACTGGGCGACATGACCAAGGACTCTGCTGAGCAGCTGGGGTAGGACAGATGATTACTCCACCGAACATCTGCTTTCACACCAGGGGCCTGACCTTGATGACCCCACAGCAGCTGCCTGGACATCTCATGGCTCTGTCCCTGGTCACTCCACAGAGCAGCTATTTGGACATCTCAGGGCCCTGCCTCCAGAGACTCCACAGACTAGATGCTTCCACACCAGGGACCTGTTCATTAAGGTGACCTTTAAAGCCAAAGGATGCTGTTTGGCATGTTTCCAACTTAAAACTAAATGGCAACTGTGAGTGGTGGTACTGCAATTCCAGCACCACCATCGACAAGTGGAACCTTGTGCATCAGGAGTTCAAAACCATCCTTGGCTATATGGATAGTTCAAAGCCTGCCTTGAAGGCACCTTAGAAAACAGAAATAACAGTGAAACTCAAATCAAACTAAAACTAACAGGAAAGCAAAATTTAAAAGTATACATCAGAATCTAATTAAAATCTTATTTTCCAACACTCTCCTTACTATTTCCTGGAGTGTCTGAGACCTGTCCTGGCATGTGCCTGGAGAGCTATGAATTCAGTTCTTCCATATGAGTTTATTTTCTGTGTCCACTTTTCAGGGTACTCCAAGACTGCCCAGATTCCTGGAGTATCTGTAGAGCACCAGGTGTCCTGGATCCCAGGAAAGCAGGAAGCGGCCTGCATGGGCACTGCACAGGTGCCCCAGGGTCCTGGCTGCTCTCCTCCTACATGTTATGAGGAGCACACATGGATTTCAGCTTGCAGCACTTCTAAGTGGCTCTGCCTTCTCAGCCCAGACACTGGTCATTTCAAGTAGACTGAGGCAGAACAACATCTCAGTGTTTGACATCTGTTTGTGATCCCATGAAACCCGGCAGTTATGGCAGTGTCCTCATCTTGATCCCTTTCTTAAAAGCTACTGTTAAAGAACAGATGAAACTAGATTTGAAGAGGTTAAATTCTCTAAAGGAGAATGATGTTTACAAGCCAGGGATAGTGGGTTCCTTGCTGCTGACCCAGGCTGTGCTGTGCTCACTTCACGTCTGCATGTTAGTATTTCAGGGAGCAGTGTGCTTTGCTTGTAGGTTTGTGTTTTGGGTTGAGTGTGTGTAGGGCTGAGCTCTGCTGACATTTTTCTTTTGCTTAGCTTCAGACAGTCGAGTCCAGGCGTGCGCAGCTGTGTGGAGGATGCCCAAGGAGTTAGAATCCGGTAGCCACGAGTCCCCTGATGACCCTGCAAGCACTGCGCAGACCCTGGAGCTGCTCTGTCACCTTGACAACGGGGCCCACGGCAATGTGGCCTGGTAGGATGCTACATATTTCATACATGAGGAAGAAGCCTAGAGGCTGCTCAGGTGCACAATTCCCATCCTCCTTTGCGCCCCACTTCTGCTATTCTTTCTCTAAGATGTTTGTACTCGGTTGTCACTTAGTCTCAGGTGTTTTCTAGGTTACTCACAGTTACAGAACACCTCCCCCCAAGTATGGTGAAGAGCACATGGCCCACCCTTTCTCTCTTCCAAACCACATTGCCTGCAGTCAGTGACAGAAGAATAGACTAGCCCAGCCCCATTAAGCCTTTAGAACAATCACCCATCACGTCAGCATGAAAGATACAACTTTTATTTCCTGTAGCCTGCTTAGAAAGGAAGGGTGCTCCTGGCAGTATCCCCAGGTCCTGCCATGTCCCTGTCCTTTCCTTTGGTTTCCTGGCAGTCCTGTAACATGTGTGGAAATGAAGAAATATGATTACCATTTGTGGGGCTCCTGGGCAGTCCTGTCTGTGTGGTTAGAACTTGGCTTTATCTCCTCAGGACCTCTACACAGTGGCTATGGCTGATCTGATGAAGTTGAGACAGCATGGCTTCAGACATCTCTGCATGATGCTGTTATGGCTGTTCTCAGCAAGATTCATTGCTTTACTTGATACTGTACACTTCAGTGCAATTGCCCAAGCCCATGTGCACATGTCTGTGAGGAGGTCTGGGCCCTCTGCGGGTGGTCAGCTCACCCAATTAAATGAATCCAACCCAGCAAACTATTGAGCAGATGCTGCACAAACTCTGTCAGGCTTCACGGATGGTGGGTCAGTGTCAAAGGACCTGTCCTTAAGGAGTCCTGGTCCCTAGGGGAGATCCAGAGCACAACAGCCTGCCACAACAGAGCAGGATGTAACATACCCTGGGCTGTCATGAGTGTGTTCTCTGCTCCAACAGGAAGCAGTGAGTCATGTTTTCTAGAGGACCAGAGAGGGAGTTACCTGGAGGGAGCACTTAGAACTGATCACCATGGGACTAGCCTGTCACTGTCTGCCACAATAAAGCTGTGCGGGGCTCTGGTGGCTTCAGTGCTAGCCTTAGGGGATTTGTTCGCATGGCTGCTGTTTCTAATTGATCAGTAGCCATTTGCTTGTCTCTAAGGAGCTCTGAGCGCTGATGTCACCCCAGTCTCATAGGCAAAGGGAAGCCAGTGAGTCCTTAAGTTGCAGGAATCAACACTTCATGCTGTCACTACACTGCCTGAGTCTCACAGCTCTCTTGCAGAGTTTCTGTCATACAGTGACCATGTTCCCCGATTAAGGAGACCTTGGTATGTGGCCATGGGCATCACATTATGCCTGTTTCTAGAGGCACAGCAGCACTAGAGGGAAGACAGGGGAGCCATGGCAGGTGAGCTGTTGCCTAGAGAGTGCCAGTCATTTCCAGAAGGTTCCCAGCTTTTGTCACACACCACTCAGAAGGGCATGTCACACCTGTGTGCCCTGTAGGAAACTGGGTATTAGAGTGCCTACTCAGTTGCCATCTGCCCATGTACATGCTGCAAAGGCTGACTCAGTGTGTGTGGTTGTTGACTGTCCTCAAATTCATCTGGAGTGCTCTTGATTCTGACCTTGCTGTTACTGTTCAGAGTAGCTCAACTTCTTTTTGGTTTCCCAATGCATCCTTGTACATTCTTTTTTTTTTTTTACACTTGCTTGTTTTAAGTGTTTTACTTTAAAGTAATTACATACCTACTACTAGCAGATAACAGGGATGACCTGGGAACCCTGGGCACCCTTCACTTGGGTTCCTATGGTAACTGCATGATGGCAGAACATGAGTGATTCCACTATCCCTGGAGGTTTCACAAACAGCCTGTGCTTATGTGTGGGAGTTCAGTTCCCAGTACCCCAGTACTGTCTCTGCTGCTGTAGGACTTGTGCCCTGCTGATCAGAAGTGAGTCTGACCCTCCCATGGAGTGAACAAGTCAGGGACTTCTCTCCACGAGGCTGCCCCAGTAGAGCAGTTTGCTCTTGAGCAGTCTCGTCACCTGCTTTGGGCCGCCTAGCAAACATGAGTTGAATGCAGAGCAGCGATGAGTCTTTTTCCTGATAGGAAAGGCTTGCAGTCCAGCATATGAACCATCAGATGTTCTTCCAAAAGAGGCAGATGGGCCCAGGCTCTTGTCCTCACGCTCTCTAGGCATGATAGCATCACTGGAAGCAAATGCTCTGAATGGAAATGCTCTCTTAAAGTTACTGAAAGAGTTTCATGGCAAGACCTTGTGGAAATGTGGTACTTCCTTGAAATGTAATGTCATTACAGTAAGGCCATGAAGGCTGACCTCAAGCTCCTACTTTCTCTGTACTGTTGGGGCAGAGGCTCCATGCTGCCCTTAGCGGAGCTGTCAGGTACCCAGTAGCAGTCACTAGCAACTTCCTGGCTCAGTGCAGCTCCAGAGAGGTCAAGTAACTGTGCTCCATCTTCCCATGACCTGGCATCATCACCTCAATTCCATCTTCTTCCTAGCAGCCACTTGCAGCCAGTTCTCCATGCCCCTGCTCATGCCCATGTACTGTGCTCCCTGGAAGTTCTGAGCTTGGCCAGGGGCAAGGCTGACTCTTCAGCACCATGGACAGCGCTGGGAGAGGTGGCGGGGAATGAGCCACTAGTAAACATAAGAGCTGCCCAGTGTGTGAGTCAGAGACACCCTGCCAGTGAGCCAGGGCCCTTTCTCCAGTGACCTCGTGGAAGGGTCTATCAGTGTTCTCCATCCTGGGGAGTTAAGCAGAGTGCACAGGCTTGCTGGCTCCTTAAAGGACTGCTGGACTTGTAGCTTCCCTGTCACAGGAGCAGAAACAGCTGTCATCGCTTGGGTATGGCTGTTGTCTCAGGTGTTGGGAACACTTCACCTCAGCAGAGTAGGCTTCCAGTGTTTTGTCTTCATATACGTCTTTGTACCACACGTGTGCTTGGTGCCACATAGTGGGTAGGAGAGGCTGTGGCATTGCCAATGGTTTAAGAGCTACCCACGTAGGTAATGCAGGAGCAGCTCTTAACCACTGAGCCATCTGTCCAGCCTGAGGGTGATCTCTCTAAACATTTTTCGTTTATGTTTTGTGTAGTTCCCCTTGAGTTCATGGCTAGACTGAACTTGCGTTTTAGAATGGAGTGGGGGTATTAATTCTGCACCACCAGGCTTGAATGCCTCCTAGCGCTTTCTACATGCCCATGCATGGTGATTGCATCATTTTTGAGAGTGCTGGTAAGGGGGGGGGGGGTCTTCTGGAGCTTGGCTTGTGAGAAGGGAAGGAGGTGATTACTTTCCAAGAGTCATACAATGCAACAGCATTGCCGTGGGTTTAATGGCTGATTGGCAACAACAGAGTGATTCTGCCGCTCTCTATCTCCTTCTGATGATCAAGAAACCTCTAGCTGCATGTTAGTGAGTATGTTGGCTAACAGAAGAAAAGCTAAAACAATAGAAACCTCAGCACATTGTGTTGTGTGCACCCCTCATGGTAGTGTATGGAGCAGTTCTACAAAGCAGTCTCTTGGGTGATGGAAGTTCCCCTTCAAAGGAGAAGCTGATTTATCAGTAGTCAGAAGCTTTGAAGATGTGTGTAAAATTATTTGCGGCCCACTTTGGCGTGTTTCCAGCAACTATATCCAAGATCTTGCTTGTGTGGGTGTCAGAGTATTCTTAAGCATGCAGCTCCATACAGGTATTTATTTCTCTGGCAGCATTCTGAGGGACTGTGGCACTGCACAGCCAACTGACCCTTGCTTCCCAAGCCAGCTGCTGGAGAAGAAAACCCCTCCCATATGGATTGAGTAAATATCATACTGAAATGCCAGCCAGGCTGAGCATGCAGGACACCTGGGAGGGCTGGTGTGCATAGCAAGATGGTGATTAGGAAGTAAAGGGCAGGAATGGTATTGAAAGAGGAGAGGGAGGGTCCCACAGTGTTTGTCAGGGGTAGGAGACTTGGCCCTTTGTCTCCTTCCTTCTTTTGGTTTATGTGAGGAAACTGGTTTATGCTGCCATAGGGTGGATACTGTGAGAAACAAGTTGGTGGTTGTCCTAAGTCCTGCAGAGGTGCTTGAGGGAAGGGAACACATCGGAGGTTTTCAGCGGTTTGTGCTCTGACTTCCCGAGACAGCAGAGAGCTGACAGTGATCATCACAGGTCATTGTTAGACAGACCATGTCTCTAGAAGAGTCATCACAATGTCACTGCAGCTCCTAAGCAGACACTCACAAGCTGATTCCCAACTCCTGGTCAATACCAAACTTGTCTCTTAGATTCTTGTGTAGTTTGTGCAGGATGGACATTCCTGTGATGCTAAAGGTCACTATGAAAATTCTTCAGTGTTTCCTCCGTAACCACCACAAATGGGAATGTGTGTCATTGTCCTTTCCTCATATGAGTATTAGAAAAGTTAAGTATTAAAGTGCAATGTACAGACAGATATTCCTAGGAAGAATCAAATGTATAAATCTGAAAATATAGTGTAGAAAGGATAGGACACAGAAAAGAGAAATTCATATTCTCCCTAAATTTTAGTTCATGTTTCCATTAAATTAAATGTTTCAGTACTCTGTTTCTGTCGGTCCTTTTCTGAACTGAGTGTCACTCAGAACATAGGAAGAAACAGAGAGTGCACTACTGTGCCCTGTGGAGAGGGAGGAAGCTAGTCCATTCTGGCTGTTAGCACCAAGTGCTGCAGTCTGCACAGCTTTAATGGCAGAATTTCATTCCTGTCAGTCTCAATATCTAGAAATTTAAGCTCATATTCCCTGCAGAACTGGAGTCTGGTGAAGTCCCTCTGTCCAGCGTACCAATGGCTCCTGTCACTGTGTCTTCATGTGTACACAGGAAGATGAGCTCTCAGAGCCTTGTTGCTTTTGATGAGGCCACCAGTGGTTTCAAAGCTCTCTTATTGAGGCTTGAGGTCCAATAACATTTTTAAACCTAAAGGTATGGTGATCCTGTGTGGAAGGACATTTCTCTATAGCTGTCACTTCTAATGCCAAGGGGATC